CCCCCCCCCCCCATTTTCATTTTTACTTGTGAAATGGGGATACTCAGGCGTTATAGTGTTAATTATTAAAATAAGAATATGGAACTGGCAAGATATTAACGTCGACCAAAAGTATATATTAGCAGAAAATTATAATTAAAAGAGGGGTATTTTTATATATAACACTAAAATCAGGTTTCCATTTGGTCTGGGCGATTGTAACCATGTTTAAGGCTGCAACTAGACTTGATGGTACGAAGTATTGCCATAGCAGCTGCGCGGCAACAATGAGATAGCAATGACAATTCTGTCAAGACATACCTACGAAATACAATGTATAGTGGTCTATACATCCTATTTTATGTGAGATTAAAAATTATATAAATTAAAATGACATATACTACCAGATAAAATCCTTTAGAATGAACATGGGTGGGTGGGTGGGGAAAAGGTATCGAAGCGCTAAACTTGCTGCAGCTAGGCAAAGCATACAATGGCAGAAGCACTGATCACAAGGCATGAAACAACCCCCTTTGATCGATAGACGTCACAGACTCCCCTCAGCTGATGTGGCCTGCATAATACATCCGCCGTTAACCTTGCTTAGTTTAAATGTATTTAAGGTTACAGAGAACACCTTTCAGTGTTAATTTTGCCTAAAATTTTTTTATTGGTTTCAGTGAAAGCATTGGACTAGTTCTACTATCTGACCAAGTTTGAACGAAAAATGTTGAAAACCCGCAGGGTTATTTAATAAAATACATTTCGCTGCAATAAGAAAAACATTGAAAATGTAATATTCAAATTCAATTTTCTCACGAAAAATTTTACGGTAATTACTGATTTTCAAACGAGTTATGCTCCTGCGGGTTTTAACCAATTTTTCTCAAATTTTCACAGGACATAGCTAAATACGTCAGTTTCAAAATTGTGTTCGGCTTTTTTTAAATTTTGGATAGTTTAAAAATAAAGTGCAATTCACTCAAACAATTCAGAAATATATTGCAGTTGTCAAACAAATCGCCATATCAGCGGAACGACGAAATAAACAAAAATTTCCGAACACAATTTTTTAGAACAACTCTTTTACTGTATAAAAATGATATTTTCATAAATATAACTTAAAACCAGCAGGAGCACAACTCAAAAGCGTAAAGGTACCGCGATTTAAGATTTTCCTGAATAACTCTTACATTATTTTATTGTTTGTTAATTTTACAACTTTACCATATTTTGCATGCACTGGAGAACATTTGGTGAAAATTTGATGAAAATCGGACTGATATTGAGCGCACAGTAGCGATTTTCCGCAAAACGCCAAAAAGGGTGTCCTGTAACCTTAACCACATCAAGAGCTGATGTAATAATACTTTGTCAATTTAACTCTTCAATCCGTAAAGACTGATTTGCATACAGCACACACAAGACAAGATAAATCCAGACTATTTTACATCAGTGACCATGATTTAGTTGCAACATTTACAACCAAATGGATACCAGGTTATTAAGCAAATTCCTTCAAATTTAATTGCAACGGGCCGGTTGCATTGCAACCCCCTCCCGTCATTTTCTTGAAAAAAATTAATAGCCCCCCCCCTTTAGTCATTTAGTTATACATATGGCCCCCTCTTGTTTTTTCACTCCCCCCCCCCTTCCATAAATAATGACCTGTCCCTAAAGAAAGGCGCCCACAGAACCGGCCCAATCATAAAGAAATCGAGCAAATTGTCGGCACTATCACAATTTATGGGAGAATTTGGCTTGGTGAGAGTTGGCGGTCGGTTAAATCGTGCGAAGATAAGTTTCGACGCGAAGCTGCAATCATGGCCAAAAGTGTTAACATTTTTGTTCGACATTTTAGGAAAATACAATCAAATAACTTCATACAGGCACCCTCCCCCCCTCTCCCCCACCCAATAGCCGTTTTCACATTAGAAGACGGACAAGTCGTCTAGACGAACAAATCGTCTCAAAATCGTCTTTTAGTCGGACAAATCATCAGATGTGAATTCGAAAACGTGTCGGACAAAATTTTAGACGAACAAGTCGTCTGAATTTGTTCGACTACTTGTCCGTCTGTGAAGACGATTTTTGAGAGACGATTTGTTCGTCTAGACGACTTGTCCGTTTCTAATGTGAATAGGGCTATTGTTGCCATAATTTTCCTCTCATTTTTGAACGTAGTTCAACATCATTGTGTTGGGGGAAGGGGGGGGGATGTTTTAGACAAAATATAGGAATCAAACTACAATTTAAACTCTCATAGAGGCAAATTAAAATTTTATTAACAAGTTATGTCCACGATTGTGGGTGGGACAGGGGGGTCAACATCTCCCGCCTCCCGTACCTCCTCTTCTGCCTCCCGCCCTTTTTCTACTAACTTGGCTATGTTGCTATATTAAGCCGTCCTATCTAATTTTGCTCATGACTGGGATCGAGTTTCGGTTTAATAACTAATACGCTGAAATTTTGTGGCAATTTTGTAACCTATTGATTTTGTAATATCACGTTTTGTAGTTTTCTCTTTGTCTTATTAAGCCACTCTCAGTAATGTAACTCCAAAGTGTTTCCACAGCAAACCATTCAATTTTCTTGGCCATACAGGGTCCCCACGGCCCTTGAAAATCCTGGAATGTCCTTGAATTTGTTAAAAAGAATCCAGGCCTGGAAAGTCCTTGCCCGCGGAAACTGATGAGGTCCTTGAAAGTCCTGGAATTTTTTTTTAGTAGGCTGGAAATAATTGAAGAATTATTACCAGCCCAAGGATTATTGCCCAAATGTTTATTTTCTCCAATTTCAATTAAAATTATGTGTAACAATTGTCCAAAAGTTGTTTCGATGTCATTTTTTTTCTAATTGCATTCCTTTCCTTAAGTTTAAGGATAAAAGTTAGATGATTTTTAAAGATTTTTCCAGTTGCCAGGTCCTTGAATCAGTACTTGAATTTCATCTTCACTAAAAGGTGGGGACCCTGTATATATCACGAAAGAATTTCCTTGAAATGAGATGTAATTTCCTTGAAATTTCCTCAGATTAACCGAAGTACTACTATTCATCAGTCCTCATCAATACTTATATAGAGCAAGACAGTCCAAGACAGAATCATAACTTTTTGGCACAACTCTTAAAATGAAAGTACACGAGAATTTTGAAAGCTCTAAAAGGGCACTGATTCCAGCTATAGACTAAATTTTGATGAAGGCAAGAAGAACAAAATCCATCACCACAGCTAGAATTAAAAAGCATGGTAAAATTAGTAAAATTGCAAAGTTTGGTTGCCAAATGTTGTAAAATTATAGCTCTGCGAAATTTGCAAATTTTGTATTAATTTGTATTACGCACGGAAAAATGCACGACATTTGGGCCGATTTGCAAATTTACTAATTTTAACATGCTCTTTCTAGCTGTGATGGATTTTGTTCTTCTTGCCTAGATCAAAATTTAGTCTATAGCTGGAATTACCCAATGTAAAACCATAGAGTTTTGAAATTGTTCTCATGCAACAGCTGGGTTTCAAGCACGTGGTACATTTAGCGCTTGGTGGTCAACTCCAAAAGGAAACCATAGTTAATAGAATAGATGGTTTGGAAACTCATTTGAGAATAACAATACAACTCATTATCTATGTTTGTCAACGTTTATTCATAAATCTGGCCTTTCACCTCCACGTGGGTATTGTATTTTTGCCCAACTAACCAATAGCAATGTTTTAGGAAAGTTACTTATCCGTGACTCAAATAGTGTAAATTCGAAATTGCTATTGGTGGATTTGACATAAATACAATACACGCGTGACGGTGAAGGACCACAATAGCAAGGGTGGGTAGTAGCGAAGTAGTTGTAGTTCGCTACTGTAGCGAACTACAATTTTCAAGTAGCCAGTAGTTTTTGACTACTTTTTTAAAACAGTAGTTGTAGTTACAGCGAACTACATTTTGCCTAAAAGTAGCCAAATAGTTGACTACTTTTCAAACAGCGAATCGCTATTCGCTACTTTTTAAAATTGTTATTGCAACCGTTCATAGAATAAAATGATATTAAGACACGGTTTGCTTAAAAGATTATTTTATACAGTAAAGATTATTTTAGCGCAATAAAAAGTGGCACTCCTGAACACTGTAGTGCTTACAAAAATGTTGCTTTGACCCTTTTTGTTTACTGTTGCTACTCGTAAATCGATTTGTTATAGATGATATTACAGCCTGAGCTAGTGGATGCTACAAATACCGTAAAACTAAAAAATATAGAGTAGCGAAATAGCGAAATAGTTCGCTACATTTTTTAAGCAGTAGCTGTAGTCAGTAGCGAACTACCTTTGTTCAAAAGTAGCAGTAGTTGTAGCTGACTACATATTTTTGAAGTAGCTGTAGTTATAGCGAACTACAAAAATTTTGTAGTCAACCCACCCATGCACAATAGGGAGCTTAAGCATGTAGGACGGCAACACGACGACGACGGCAACCAATACATGAGTCAATGAAAGGAAATAAATAATTAAAGTCCCAGGGGAATTTCAGACGTAGTCATCGCTCTGTTTACAGCGGCAAATCACAGATTTTTCCGTCTTTTATACAACGCCCACTCGTTCCCAGGGCTTTCGTCATGCCCAGAAATAACGGACATTGTACAAGCGTACCAGTCAGTCAGCGACTTTTCCGTTTATCCACAAGAATTCCTAATTATCCTTTTACGACCTATCAAAGCATCCGGAATTTCAAATATTCGCGTGGGTGTTGTTTATAAAGCAAAGCATGAAGTATGCACTCAAGTTGTGGCCTTTAGTTTACCAGGCTCAGGATGTAGCTAAGCAATGACTACGAGAACGAAAAGAGAAGCTTTCGACGAGTATTTTGGTACCAAACATGTAGCAAGGCAATTAATATTTCGAGTTTGGCAAGCCAATGGAATATCACTTTTCGACCGCGATGTAGGCCTAATATTATAATATGCATATTAACGAACGGCTTGCGAATTTCAAAACAAAAAAGCAGAGCTTTTATCGGATGTAACAAAATAATAAACGGTGGAAGGCAAGGCTGTACTATTCGTCAAAATAAAATGATTTCAACAAATTTCGATAATTGAATATATTACGAGATATAGTCTTTTGAGCGAGAAACCTTTATAGATTCCTATGTAAAGTGACTGGTAAAATGTTGTAATATTCAATCGCAAAAAGCAGAGCGAGTATGCAAAGAAATGAGAACTTTTTTTCTTAATGTGTTACAATACGACAGCTACTTCTGAAACCAATTTCAACAAATATTCAAAGATTTATATATTATACAAATAATGAATGTTTATGAGTGCAAATGTGCAATGGTAAGAATATTTTCATGAGGTGAAAGATGGAATGTTCCATTCAACGAGGCGACAGCCGAGTTGAATGGAACATTCCATCTTTCACCGAATGAAAATATTGTTACCATTGCACGAAGAAACATTCATTATTTGTTTTATATAATACCAAAATAGACTAATAGATTCGTATGAGAAGCATTTTGAGGGATGCGATTTATCGAAAACACAAAGAGTGCAATTGTACTATACGTTTTATTCCATTGCACTCGCGGAGAGTGCAATGGAACGTGTTCCATTGCACTCTTGGGAAATGGAATTTTCTATTCAATATCACGTGACCATAAACAGCCAATTAAATTATTAGAATTTAATAAGGTATTATATAAAGCATGCTATATTGAAAATACTCCGCTCGCCTGATAATAAACATAGGGCATTGCGCAGCCATTGTTACGTGGGTGCTCGTGGTAACGTGAAACCAGAGAAACGAAAATGTCCGTGATTTCTGGCCATGATGAGGACGAGGGGAGAGACGAGAAAGCCCTGGTCTGGGCCGGTCACGTGACTACCCAAAAAATGGTAGTATTTGACAGCTACTCGTCAAAGGAGTGGCGAGATATTCTTTAATATAACTTAATATACAAGTCTTCGAAACCAATAAACAGCCAAAAACTTCTCAATCGATATTATTTATGTGTAGCGAAGTTTGGCACGAATCAGCTGAAATCTCTGAAGACCCCGTCTATGTTTTCTAAGATATACCGATATTTTCTGGAGATTTTCCACCATAGGCACAGGCAAAGCTGCATCCAAGCTGCATCTAGGCGTCTCCATGCAAGTGGTGATTCACACGAAATTTGCTTTCTCTCGTCTTGAACAATATGGCTATTGCCTTTAATATCAATATGAGCTCCACCTTTGAATTTACTATATGAGTAAATTCTTAAACACGTTTTTAATATTTAGTTCACTATGCTCTTATAGATCTGACTTAGTTCGATATAAATAAAAACAAATGTAAAACCTCGCGTAACCTGTTTAC